TGTTTATAGAGGTCTCTTATAGTGAATCCTGTCTAAACTGAACACCAAAGGAAGTGAGAATTGTTTAGTTTACATAGGTTTAGGTGTTCAGTTTATAGAGGTCTTTCATACAGTGAAACTGTAGTCAAGAAACATAGCGTTGATCAGCAAACTAACAACAGCCTGAAACTTCATTTTAAAAAATAGTTCCATGCACTTGTTAAAACACACACTGTTCAATATCAGAAGCCAGGGATAAACCAACAAAAAAACTTAGAGGAAAGTTTCACAACAAGATTTCTGAAAGTAGCTTTCAAATTGATTTACCAAAGAAATGTTATCCCCCCCATTCCCAGTATCCACTGGACTGTACTTTTATTTTACCTTTGACATTTGTAAGACTATCAACTTTAATACACAATTGAGACTGACATTTCAAATATAAACACTTTATTTACCACCACATGTTCTTAAACAAGGCGACCTATGACCGCTGGAATGCATAAGCTGATATCAGTGTTGAGATATTTGAGGTTGAGTGCTGTTCTGTATTAGCGAGTGTCAATTGTATGGTTTGAGTGAATGCATTGCAGGCCACACAAATTTGATTTCATAGGTTATAGCAGGACAGTGTTGGCATGCAATATATTAACATATATTGGGCTAAATAGTTTAAAGTGTATTGTTGAAAAAAAAAAATCAATTAAAATTTTTAAACAAATTTCAAATTATTAAAGAGGATGTAAATCCCTGGGATTTACTTGACTATCTGTGGTGAGTACACATTAATCTTTTGGCTGTCAGATATTTTCCTTGCCCAAAATTCATGCAAATATTTTCACATTTTGCAAACTTTTCACTAAATTTCATCATGTAAGTCTGTTGGCATGCAAGTCTGTTAGCATGCAAGTCTGTTAGCATGCAAGTCTGTTAGCATGCAAGTCTGTTAGCATGCAAATCTGTTAGCATGCAAGTCTGTTAGCATGCAAGTCTGTTAGCATGCAAGTCTGTTAGCATGCAAATCTGTTAGCATGCAAGTCTATTAGCATGCTAGTCTGTTAGCATGCAATGTGCATTGAGGCATCATTTAGTGCCCAAATATGAAATTACTCCTTTTTTAAAATGTGTATGAGAATTTGATAAACTTTCAATATTTATTTAACACTTCATTTGAACTGATTTTATGAATCAACTGAAAACAATTAATTCTTATTAGAAAAGATATATACTATTATATTACTCATGTGTTCTGAATAAATAAGAGAAGGGGCAGCAGGGGTGAAGTCCTAGAGTGATAAGGAAGTGTCTTTGAACAATAAGGAAATAGTGATAGTATTACATCAGTGATGATCTTTTCACCAGTGGCTGATCTTTGGCATGAATTTCCTTAGCCTAGAATTCACTATCCAAAACTTCTACAGATAATTATGTATCTTCCAAGATCTACCTAACTTTAGATTAATTCATAAATTAACAATATACAATTTGTTGATTAACATATTTTATTGTTATGCAATTTATGTTATATTTCTGGAGAGTAGTACTTTATCTTAGCTGGAATTAATTTTCACTGAATAGACTTTTTAGGTGTTTTGTATGGTGTTTATTTTCACTGATTTTGACGAGTTGAATGTGAACTATAGGAACAATGGTATATTAACTGGATTTTATTTTCACTGAATCATTCCTTCAGTAAAATTAGCGGAAATTAATCCCAAGCAAAATATTATTAAGTATTTTACAGTACACAGATA